AGACATTCAATGGCGACAGGGGAGTCAACGAAAACTCAACCACGGTATCGAGGACCTATTTTTATCACAGAAATACTTAATACCTAATACTTGATACCTAAGAAATACCTAATGAAACATGTTGCATCGCGCAATTAGAGGCTACGATGGCCACCTGTATGCCACAACGGCTCATTTCCGGCAACTAAAAGCTTGAAGAAGATGGAATAAAGATGATGATGAATTAATGATGATGACACTTATAATTTCAGCTAAAAAATTCTGATGAAGAAACCAAAAAGCAACTGCCCAAGCAAACTGTGCGTAGACCACTGAGCCATAAAGATTTTTTAAACTATTAGAAACTTATATCAATATTTTGTATCATAAATCGAGTTAATTTTATTATCATGTACTTCAAGTTTAGTTCAATTGAGGTCAATTAAAATGTCAGGATGTTTGAATGTAAGCGGATATATCGCACCCAGCAAGAAAAGTAATACAAATCAAAAAATAGCAATTTTGAGGCTATGTCATTAAAAAATATGAAGTACCCCATCAAGCTCAAAAAGTGTCACATCTCTAAGTTGCAATCTATCCAGCTGAGAGCACTTGTGTCAGTTTTGTGTCTAATTCAGAATAAATTTTATAGTTTTCTTTAAGTTTATTTTTCTCAAATGCTGTATTTTAGAGTTATGACACTGTTCTTGCGGGGGTGTGATGTATTATAAATTAAGAATGACAACAGCGGTTATGATTTGTTTTCGGTTTGTATTGAAAATGTTTTTAGAACGTCGATACGAAATGTACGTGAATGTAGTAAGCTGCAAGTGCACTTATATTATCAATAAATATTTGTTTTTGTTTTCTGTGAAGAATTCATTATTGTTAAATTAACTCCATAAGAAGCCAACATTGTGAAATTATTTAAAATATAAAGCCACAGAAAAAGAAAAGGGTAATATTTTAATAAATATAATTTTCCTAATGACAATATATTGAATAAATTATGAAGAGATTATGCATTTATAGGACTTTTATTATTATTTCCTCTCGTACTTTTCAAATAAAATAAATTTCTAAATTTGTTAATAAAGAAAGTTGTATCCCTAATAATAATTTTCAATTTTTACAGCAATTCGTTTTAGATTTTATATCAAAGAAAAGCATGTTTCTGCTTATAGTATTCATTTTCAGCTACACGCATACATTATATCAAAAGGAAGTTTAAAACTATAGTAGATATAACTATAGAAAAACTAACTTACGATTATTAATGATAATACGATAAAAAAACATTCCTCTTATTAAGTATTTCTCGCCAAATGTCATTATTTACTTTATCTATGAAATTGGGGTTCCGACGAAGGAAGGTTAATCATTTAGGGTTCCATCGCCGAAACAAATTGGGAACCGCTGATCTAAAGCGCTACTACTGTTCTTTGAAAAACCATTAAAAGATTGATCTAAATTGTCGTTCAAATTTGGTGTAACCCTAATATGGTTAAATGCTAATTATATTATCTTGCAAAATAAATTATTTTAAACTTGATAACAATATGCTGTGGCTCAACTTAAATGTTGATTAAGGTTTCCAACTAATTTCGACAATATAGTTTTTTTAAAAAGGGGTTAATTGATGAAAATTTAATATTGTCTCTGGTTAACGGAAGTCCTTAAACTATAAACTTAAAGTAAAGTTTAAAAAATTATGAAATTTATAGAAAATTTAAGCATTAAATTCATTCATAATATACTTAAATTCACAATATACCTAAATTCATAATATACTTAAATTCATAATATACCTAAATTCATAATATACATAAATTCATAATATTCATCAGGGAATAAAGCGTTACTCTGATCCACTGAGGAATCTTTCTCTTAANGTAGCCCCACTTGGGGGCTACTTTGTGCAAGGTATGTTTTGACTTATTATTTATAAATATTACATACAAATAATGCCAATATTGATCAAATTCACTCGTCTGAGTCCTGTCATGAATATAATATCGATAAATTTTACTAAAGTTTGAATAAACATAGCTTTTTTACATGTCAAAGTTCAAAAACTGCGAAATCCTGCACAAAGTACGGTACACAATTTTCTCAAAACCAAGGTTCTTCAGAAAATACATTTAAAGTACAAGAAACTTCTGTAATGTAAGAAAATTCTATGAACAAAATATTAAAAATTTGAAATATCATTTCTGAAATTAAGTTTTATTTTTTTTAAAAAAATATAATTTATTCAAACAAAGAAAATTTTAAAATACTCATATTTTAACAAAAATATTTTAGTTTCCTTACTTCCTGCTTCCTTTCAGCATGGGAAAAAACTACTGTGACTTTACTTCTAAAAATCGAAGATCGAAACTTTAAAGGGCTTAGGAAAACTATTGAACTATTCATTGTTCAAATATGAAAAATTGTGCTACGATGGCTCAGGGAATAAAGCGTTCGCCTCCCACTGAGGAATCTTTCTCCTAATTACTCTGGTTCAATTTCTAGCAGTGAGGTGGGTACGAATTCTGTTCTCGGCTTGCACCGACCACATTTCTTATGTAAAATATCCTCAGTAGCAGACGGCTAATGGGTTAGAATCCCCTTGCCGTCACACTAAGCGTATAATGTTGTCCTCTCTATATAACGCAAATCCTCCAGAAAGGTTAGTTTTTCTCAATGCTTTATTCACTACCCTTGTGTTCTGGGTTAGGGTTCGAACTTACTAGGCTACGGAATTGAACATTTACAGTCGCTAACTTGTAATTGAGTCCATTATTTAACTCCAGTTCTAAAATAAAATGTAAATTTTGATAATTTAAAAAAAATTTGAAGCTATTTCGTCGAAGTTTTTACTCAGTCGAATACCTTTGTTTAACACTTTTTTTTAAGCTTGCGGCAAATTTAGTAGATTATATGGCTCTAGTTTCCAATATTATGGTTTCCCGTTGGTTCGATTTTTCTGGCCTTTATTGGCCCTTTGCCTTTTTTTCTTTTTAAGAAGCATTTGTTTTGCAAGTTAATGTTTTTTTTATTATTCTATTATCACTCTATATCCTCATACTGTATTCTTACACTTGATCGGAAAGCAAACGTGTTTCTTTGAAAATACTCCTGAACATATATGGCAATACTTTCACTTTCTGTACTTATAATGAAAGTAAAAAGCGCGTACTTTTACTTCATCTTCGTTACTTTTCAAATTTATTATTTTTTCTTGTTTTTTTCCTTACTTTTTAAAAGAAAAAGTACAAAAAATTGTGACGAAAATGTCGAAAGAAATCGTTACCTATTTTTGGAGTTTTTAAAAGTTATTTTATATCATTAAATTTAAAAATAAAATTTTTGTTCTCTATGTTTAATTATGAATATATTCAATACGGCATATCACAAACGGAAAAGTTCTCGTCTTTTAAAATTTTAAAAGAGAAAATTTCTGAACGTTTAAAAACGAAATAATAATTTAGTGGATTTTTAGAAGTTTCCGGCATAGGCATATTATAATTTTATTATTTAATTGTTTTTCTTAACAAAAGTTATAATGTTTATCGAATTTGTACAAGTTTATTCCTTGTTGGCAATTACAAAAATTTCTAAGGAAATTTAAAATAAATTAAATGTTCTTTTTTCATATGCGAATATTGAATTTTGTTTTCTTGTTTCAGTTCCGTGTATTTTCAATGTTTACTATTTCAATGAATTATGTAACATTTTCATACATTTTAAAAGTGGAGCACTTAAACTAAAATTTAATTAATTTCGAATTAAAAATTCTACATTTTGGTCCTACATTTTTTAATCAAATTAAAGATTATTTTGAATTTTTGATTTACTCGAAATGTACTTTAAAATCGTGGCTTTTTATTTTGTAGTTTTAATTTTACTTGTACTTTTTACTCGCTACTTTTGCTTGAAGTTCTCGTACTTTTACTCGTTACTTTTTAAAAATAACATTCCCTTGTATGGGCCTAATGCATATTCTTTGATTTTTGGAGTTAAATTAGTACTTTCATTTACAGCAATTTTATCCATTTTAGGCATTTCTTAGGCACATTAAAACCCCGGAAAAACTTTGTCACCAAACTAAAGACTTCTGCACGGAAATATAGATTTTACATTAATTTTGACAACTAATGACTACAAAAATGAAAATCAATGACCATTCCTTAATCGATTTTTCTCCGAAAAATAAATCTATGAAATGTCAAAATATTCTCAATTTGTTAATCTCTTGGTTCCTTCAATAATGCCGAAATACCACCCACGCTAAAAGTTTTGAAATGGCCCCAGAGTGAATTTGACTCACTTGGCGTCGGAATTGGCGCCAGCTTTTCATGATTATCCCGAATTCCGGAGAACATGTCAAAGGAAAGAGCCGGAACTCTTTCACTTAGATTTCTACACATTAGTTTCGGTTTCGGAACTGTAGTGAGGTCACCGATATTTGCTTTTATCTGATTGGATATTTTATTTTAATGTTTTGATTTTGTATTTAAAGCGTGATTCAAATCGAAATAAATACTTCGATGACTATTTTAATGATTTATAATACATATTTTGTTAAAATTAAAATGTAATCGCAACTTAAAAGAGTTTCTAAATATCTTGATGATTATGATTTTTTTCACATTCTAAATTTATGAACGCTATTTACATTTGCAGCTTTTAACTAAAGCTTTTCAATCAACGATTTTTTAAAAAAAATTGGTTTATAGTTTAATAGTAATCGGTTCTATTATTTTATTTATGATTATGGATTCTCGAAAAAAATTGCATTCCTCAATTCTGGAAATATTGACACTTTTCATTATTTGATTATTTTTAGATGTCTTAGAATTTTTTATTTTTATTTTAAAAGAACGCGCTACGTTAGCGCGACAAAACAATTATTTAATGTTATTAATTGCTTAATTAAAAATAAAGAGATTATATACAAAATGGAAGAACATTTTCAACAAAAAAAAATAGCTTGTAAACATTTTAAGAGCAATCTTGTTAACTTTCCCAACTAAACCTTCCAATTTGTTTAAACATAGAGTGAGTTACAGCAAATCATGTCAGCTCCAGAAATCATTAATTACACGAGCTGGAGTAATTATTCCAATGAATTAGCTGGAATTGACGAGTACTTGGCTGTTGTTCTTGGTCCAAAAAGATTGCCTCTCAACTGGTTGTTGCCAATGACTACTGTTTATGTAATTATATTTATCTCCGGACTCATTGGAAATATTTGCACGTGTGTCGTGATTGCAAGCAATCCATACATGCAAACTGCAACTAATTGTTATTTGTTTAATTTGGCCATTGCAGATGTTTTGACTCTTATTTGCGGTAAGTAAGCATTATTTCATCATTCACTTATAAGTAACTATGTTCTTAATACAGCAAAAAAAGTTTAAAAAGTTTTAGAAACAAATAACTTTGCAGTGAAAATAATTACACTGCAATGAAGTTTCCCCCACTTATTTAAAACCATTGGAAATTTTTGCCTAATCATTTCATCAATGATCATCATTTAAAAAAAAATCCTATTAAAGGGGGGATTCCACCCAAATTTAATGATACTAAAAAAATAAATAATTTATTTTCAAATTTAGCACAATTTTTTACATTATTTTCCATTCAATTATTTAAATATATAATTCATCCTAATATTATAATAGCCTAAATAAACAAATAGGGAATATTCTAAATATATCTCTTACTATAAATCTTAATAATATCCAACCAATATGATAATAATATACAATACAACTTAATAATACAATACAATACTTAATAATATACAACCAATACCAAGAAGGCTATTAACTGTTTTATTTCAATCCGATTTATTCTTCCTAATACTCCAATTATTAATCTCATTGTTATTCTTATAACACAAATTAATCTGATAATAAATAAATTAATTAATGTTATGAGAATTAAGAGTAATAAACTACAAAGATACACTAAATATGAGGATAAACATATTTAGCATCTTATTAAACATAAATGTGTTAACATTGCTTACATTTTTTGGTCGAATCTCGTTTAATTGAATTTAGTACACAAAGAAAAAAAATTCGTATAAACGTATTTTATGCCATTAACTAAGGTATCATGATAAAATTACTAAATATTAGTATATATTACTACAAAACATATTCTATTGCCATTTATTTACAATATTACCAAATTCATTACCAAAGAGCTTCTGTAAAAATTACCGTGCTTTTTGGCTTTTCCATGGAGTCAGAAGCACGGCAAATTTTATAATTTTTGACTATAATTTTTTTTTCCAGTGTAATCTAATTCAAAATTGGGAAGTATTGAGTATTAAACTCTTATGGCTCCTACAAAGATATGGAGACGATATAATGATTCACAATATACAACTAAATAAACACCGAAATTAAAAGTTTTTCTTCCTTGGACGGTCTATTATAAAATACCGAAAATTTTCAGTTTAATATTCATTTGTCATTTATAAAACTAAAAGAAAATTGATTAGTTAGTATCAAACTATACGGAGATCTTGGAAGTTGGTGCAGTTCAAACAATGTTTTTTTTTAACTTAATTTCCATAAACAACATTCAAACTAACTACATATAAACATTATATTTTACTAACTTATCATTTCATATTTCTATGCCTCTAAATTAGATATTTTATCTATCTCACTTGAAAAAGTATTAGATTTTTTTACCATGTTTTTAATAATTAGCTTTTGCATTTGTAAAAATGGAATCTCGAAATCCAAATTTTAGCCCCTCTCCGATTAGCTAGAGTGCTGTAATTTCAACTTATTTATTATTAAATTATTTATTATAACAATTTTCTACAAGCTATCAATATTTTTTTCAATTCTAGCTATTTTTATCTAGTAAATAAATTGACACTTTTGTTTTTATGTTTATTTTATTATATAATTTTTTTTTCAATTAATTTTTTTTCATACAACATTATTACGTATGCGTCATAAGACAGAGTCTTAATAACTATTACAAACCTTTCTTCTATACAGACATTAAATTTATAGACACATATTTATATTATTGTGAATTTAACTTATTGTTTAGTTAAACATTTGAGATTAAGGTGATATTTAAAGAATAAAAGAGTATGAATAAGATGACTTTCTCCCAAGTGAAATTGCAACTTTCAATACTTAGAATGATATATATCTAACTCCGTTTCAATACAACATTCTCATACCATTTTAACAGTTAAAATATTTGTCATAAAAGAGTTAAGATATGGTCGTGAAACTCTTCTCTGATCGCAAAATTCGTTTTTATATATGAAAAAGGAGGAAATATTTCTTATGTATTGTATATTTAATAAAAATGCAAAACTAAGAGTTAAAGTTTTTACACAAAATATTAAAATAGGATACATTCAATTTAATAATCGTTTTTCATTAATAAGTACTAGAAAAATAAAATTTTAATAAATAGTATCGAAAGAATTAATTAAATAGTAATAACTCAAATTACATTAACACCATTGCACTGTAAAACGCAAATTACATCTTTTGTTTCCATTTCCCAAAAGCATAAAGTGTATAAACAATGATTTTAAATAATTTTTTTGAAATTCGAATTTTATGAAAAACAGTATCTAAAAATTTTAATAGTTCTATCCTGTTTTGTTGAAAAATTGTTTTAGCTTCGTATTGTTATGACTTCCGAAACTATTCGTCAGATTTTTCTTTTTTTTTTCTTTTCTTTTTGGTGAGTTTTTGAAATCAGCGTCTGTATGCGAAATCACAGAAATATGCTTATAGAAGCCAAGGAAAATGAGAGAGCCACATTTTAAGGGCTTTACATTTGAAGCAAAGCTATAACTTTAAACTATATATATATATCATCTAGTCGTGAAGATATATCAGGGCTTTAGGATGAATAAATAATTGAAATGTCTTAAAAGTTATATATTTTTTTTAAATTGACCAATTTGGTGATATTTTTTCAAAATATTGGTGATATTTTGAACCCAATCGGTGAAAAAAATATCCCCAATTTGGTGATATTTTTTTAAAGTTATAGCAAAGCTATAACTTTAAACTATATATATATATATCATCTAGCCGTGAAGATATATCAGGGCTTTAGGATGAATAAATAATTGAAATGTCTTAAAAGTTATATATTTNACTAGAAAAATAAAATTTTAATAAATAGTATCGAAAGAATTAATTAAATAGTAATAACTCAAATTACATTAATACCATTGAACTGAAAAACGCAAATTACATCTTTTGTTTCCATTTCCCGAAAGCATAAAGTGTATAAAACAATGATTTTAAATAATTTTTTTGAAATTCGAATTTTATGATAAACAGTATCTAAAAATTTTTATATTTCTATCATGTTTTGTTGAAAAAATTTTTAGCTTCGTATTGTTATGACTTCAGAAACTATTCGTCAGATTTTTCTTTTGTTTTTGGTGAGTTTTTGAAATCAGCGTCTGTACGCGAAATCACAGAAATATGCTTTTAGAAGCCAAGGAAAATGAAAGAGACACATTTAAGGGCTTTACATTTGAAGCAACGCTATAACTTTAAACTATATATATATCATCTGGCCGTGAAGATATATCAGGGATTTACGATAAATAAATAGTTGAAATGTCTTAAAAGTTATCATTTTTTTTTTAAAATTGACCAATTCGGTGATATTTTTTCACCTTGGATAAAATTATCAAAATCAATTCTTTATTCTAATTTTTTTTGGCAAATTTTTATAACCCCATATGATACGGTATTGGATTAACTTTTTAAATATTAAAATAATTAGGCCTGCAACGTTTTTCATTTTCTAAAATCTGCAGCTTTTTTTCCATATTGACGTTTTGTGCCATTCTTAGAATGAGCTTAGAGGAAGCTAAATTAAAAACAGGCTAAAATTAATCTAACAGTCATGAGTAACTATACAAAACTCAAAGCATTTATAAGAATAGCATAAAAAAGTGTCATTTCACGAGATACCTTGATAAACAACCTTAAATACTTTGAAAAAAATACCGGGATTGAATTTATTTTTAGAAACAAAAAAGTATTGACGAATGTCAGTTTTTTAATTTTTTGAGACTAAAATAAAACCCACAAAACTTTACAAAAAAATATTAAACAAGACTTTTGAAAATAAAGAGATGTCTATTCTTTAATTAGTTTGAATATTTTGAAATCTTCTGAATAAAATAAATTCTGAATAATAAAAATTAAATATGAGAATTAAAATGCTCTAAAGACCGTGATAGCCTGGTTGGCAAGGCGCTGGGCTCCCATTTGTGAGAACGGGAATTCAAATCCACCAAGCCGAAGACTCCCCGTGTAGTAAATGGTGACTGGTGCAGGTTAAATCTATCGAGTTACGAAGTCCTCCATGCTTCCGTAGCAAATAAATACCTCTGAGGGTACTGAATTGGATATCGATCGTTCTCTGGTTCAGGTCAAAATTGTGATCTCTAGATGAATGAGTGGATGTATGAATGAGTTCACCCTATAAATGGGCGTGACGTATGGGTGTATGAAAAGTCGACTTCTTTGCCATAGATGGAGCCACTGGAACACACGAACAATCGCACTTCCTCTGCCTTAATGGCCGATGACAACAGGAACAACAAAATGCTCTAAATTACTCCCAGAATTTTCGATAAGTGCAAAGAAACTCATTTTTAACAAACCAAGGTTTTTTGCAACATCCATGACTTTATAGAGATTAAACTATTCAGGCATGAATTAAATTATGTTTCTCAAAATACAAGAAATAATTTTTGTTTAGAAATATTGTTTTATTATTTTATGCGCGTTTCGATTAAAAATAGCGAAAGATAAATAATTTGAAAATACTCTATGTAAATATTTATTCGCATCTCAAAATTTTTATTAGGCGTTAATTGTAAAATTTTAAGATTATTACTGCAACAAAAATTTTATTTAAACTCTTATAAAAGTTTTACAAAGCTGTGTAAACTGCAATTCTAAAAAAGTTTAAAATATTCAACTCTATGTCAGCCACACATTTTCAACCCCATTTGAAATAATCTTACCAACTTAAAAATTATTGCTTTCAATATAAAAAAAGGTTTAAAATTAAAATGCATTATGAAATCATCAAAAGTAGTATTTGTGAAAAACATAGTTGTTTTTGAATGGCTATTGAATGACTCAGAGAGACTGAATTTACTTATGAAATGTGAAATAATTGTAAAATTGTTATAAAATCATTGTTGCTAAGTGAGTAGGTTGTTTAATAAAGTTTTAAAAGGCTAAATAAATTGAAGGAATTACACTAATCAACCAAATGAAAGAAGTATTGAGTCAATAAAATAATAAGTCACATTT